TTTTTTTTTTTTGAGAGGTTTTTGCTGTAGGGTGTGTGTGCTTGCCAGAAAGACAGAGAGAAACAGAGAGACAGAAAGCCAGAAATCACCCCCCAGGGGGGATGGCCACGCCACAATCCCTTCTCCTTCATTCTCCTCTCAGGATCTTGGGCACGTATGCACATGTGCCCAGCGTGAGTTTAAGCCAGTGGGTCCGGGACTCGAACCGTGGTCGACTACATTGGAGTCTAGCAACATAGCCATTACGCTAACTGCTGGTCCCTGAAATGACATATTTTATTTTATTTGGTATTGAATGGCTTAGGAAAAGAAAACTAAACTGGGAAAGTATATAAATGTGGGATTAGAAATTATATATAGAGGTAAAACCATTGAACTTGTAATCTAGAATTTGATGAGACTACGAAAGGTCATCTAGTCAATATTTCTGCTCTCAGGGAAGATTACCTCCAAAACCTATCAACATCTATGGTTGTTAATTTTATGAAGATCAAGAAGGTGAGACTGTTAGGAGAGGTACAGTTTGGGCTAGGGACTCTGGAAAGTTCAAATACAACTCTAAAGATTCAGAGTATAAATCAAACTATGTACTCAATATTATCAATCCTAAACTCTATTTTTCCTGCTAATTAGATCTAATAGCTAATCAAGGCAACATTTTCCTTCTCTTTCTTCCCCCTAGAGATTTATCCTGCAACAAAATACAATATATTGAAAGACGTACATTTGAGTCACTACCTTTTTTGCAGTATTTGTAAGTTACAAATTTCACTTTGTTATATTAGAAATTTGTTTGAAACAATTCTAAAACTCTTGCTATTCATTTAAAATGATTAAAAATTTACTAGTAGAAATTTACTAAAATTATTTAAGAAATCCTTTCATTTCTAGCAAAGATCAGTGTAAGAATTATTATCCAGATCAGAGTGAATAACTATGGAGCAGTGGTTCTCTTCTAGTGTGACTTGGCACCCAGGTGACATTTGGCAGTGTCTGGAAGCACGTTTGGTTGTCACAGCGATGAGTGTGCTACTGGCATCTAGGAGGCAGAGGCGAGATACAGTGAAAAAACCTGCAATGTGTAAGACTAATCTCTACAACAAAGAGCCTCCAGCCCCAAATATCAACAGCATTGGGGTTGTCAAATCCTGTTTTAGAGAAATAAAGATCACTCAGCATAACTATTTCCTGAGCATTCACTATTTCAGATCTAATGTACCATATGTGTAAATACATACATGTAAACCATAAATCAGTATCTTGTCTTGTATATTGTATATCGATGAGATTTCTTTAGTGTATGGAGAAAGTATCAAGGTTATATTTTATCATATATAAATTAGAATCACTGCCAAATGATTAGTGTTCTAAGACTGTATTTCTTCTTCTTCTTCTTTTATTGGCTTGTATCTTTTTTCCTTCTTTTTTTGGTAGAAATCTCGGTTGTAATTTAATCACAGAACTGAACTTTGGAACCTTTCAGGCCTGGCATGGAATGCAGTTTTTACATAACGTGTAAGTGAAATAGAAGTTGAACACATGTAAAACCTATTTATACACGGAAACATTACACACTTATTGGTTAGCTGGGGGTAAGCCCACTAAAAACTCTAAAAAGTATGTCTTAAAATCCATCCATCCATCCAGCTTTTTCAAATGAGGGAACTAAGGTACAAAGAGGCCAAGAGACTGTGTAACTGGCATATACATGCTCTGCTTTCCTCAGTACTGATTTTGGCTGGGCAATCAAAGGCATGAAAAAAGTTACACTCAAATTAGCATTGTTCTGGGAGCCCAGTGATACTGCTCTGATATATGAACGGTTCTTAAAACTCCACTTTGGAATTTATCCTGCCCGCATGAGGAGTTCCTAACTGCTCAAATGTGTGCAACACAGAGCTGCAAAGAAAGAAGTCTAACCCTGTCCT